ATTTATCTATATAGATACACATAAAAAAAGCTGAATGCGTTGCCACTGAGTCGTTTCCGACTCATAGCAACCCTGCAGGACAGAGTAGAACTGCCCCATAGGGTTTCCAAGGCTGTAAATTTTTACAGAAGCCGACTGCCATATCTTTCTCCTGCGGAAGGGCTGGTGGGTTCAAACTGCTGACCTTTTGGTTAGCAGCCGAGCACTTAACCACTGCACCACCAGGGCTCCTTTTATATATATAACTGAATAAGCAAATCCTGAATATATGAAGAACTGAATACATATATCTGAATATATAAATATATGTATTTATACATATATATAAAACTGAATATATGAAGAACGGCTACAACTCAACATGACAAACAAACCAATCAAAAAATGGGCAAAGGACTTGAATAGACATGTATCCAAAGGAGATGTACAAAAGGCCAACAAGCACATGAATGAAAAGAGAATCCTTTTTTTTTTTTAAATTATAAAAAACATTTTGGACAATTGGAGAAATTTGAATATGAACAGAGGGTTGGATGGTGATGTCATTAGTCATAAGAGAAATGCAAATTAAAACCATGATGACATACTTGTTCACACCCACTAGGATGGCTATTATCAAAACAACCTAGAAAATACAAGTGTTGGTGAGGATGTGGAGAAATTGGAGCCCTCCTCCATTGCTGGTACAGCCACTGTTGAAACCAATTTGGCATTTCCTCAAAAAGTTAAACATAGAATTACCATATGACTCAGCGATTCCACTCCTAGATATACGCCCAAAAGAACTGAAAACAAGGACTCAAACAATTACCTGTATGGCAATGTTCACTGCAGCAGGATTCATAATAGCCAAAAAGTAGAAACAACCCAAGTGTCTATCAACAGATGAATGGATAAACAAAATGTGGCATATACATACAATGGAATATTATTCAACCATAAAAAGGAATGAAGTTCTAATATGTGTTACAACATGGATGAACCCTGAAAACATTATGCTAAAGGAAATAAGCCATACACAAAAGAACAAATATTGTATGACTTCACTTACATGAAATATCTAGAATAAGCAAATTCATAGAGACAGAAAGTTGATCAGCCATTACCAAGGGCTGAGGGGAGAAGGGGGGAGTACTGCTTAATGGGTACAGAGTTTGTTTGGGGTTATGGTATTGGTGATGGTTACACAACATTGTGAATTAATTAATGCTACTGAATTGTACATTTAAAAGTGGCAAAAATGACAATTTTTATGTTATATGTTTTACCACAACATAAAAAATTTTAATAACAAAAAAAAATCTAATCACAGTTCTCATACTGCTCTTGGTTATGTCTTTCTAGTCCTTTTTAATCTGGTAGGGGACACTATCCCATCTTAACTTTTTAACATCTTCCATAAATCTTTCTCTCCTGAATTCCCATTACCCTCCAGCATAATCCCTCCACCACAAGCGTATCACCCTGCTTCCATTTCTTTGTTGTTTGCCCCCTCCCTTTTAAATGCCTTCTGTCCTTCCTCGTCTCACAGCTGATTCCTACTTATCATTCAAGGTCCAGATTAAGCTTCTGTAGCTCTTCCTAAAGTTTTATAGGATAGTTCTGACTTCATAGAACTCTCTCTCTATGCATCTCCAGCTACACTTCCAGCTTGTACTCTAACGCTTATGAATACTCTATTTTCTCAAACTCACTAAAACCATGAACTATGGCTCATACCCCTCCGTTTCCCATAGCACTGAACACACTAGTGACTATTTAGTAAGGGCTCCTCAAACATTCAGTGATTGATTTTTCTTTTAAGGTTCCAATAAAGTCAGTACCACAAAAAATACTTACTTTGATTAGCCGTGTTTATGAAACTTCCTAGGTCTGAAAAGCTATCCGTCATGTCTCCAAAAACCAGCATCATGAGGGGAAGTGCAGCTCCATGAATGACGGCAGCCAAAGTCCCCAGCAACATATACAACTTATCAAGCCAATCTGAATAGCGAAACTAAAAAAAGAGAGAGAAAAGTAGTGAATAAGAACAAGTAGCAGTTTCAAGGATGGTTATTGCTCTACCTTCAAAATATATTCAAAATCCAAACATTTTTCAGACTACTCCTGCTATCACCTTTGTCTGAACTACCATCTTTCTTTGCTATATGATTCCAATAGCCTCATTAGGAGTGGACATTTGATTCTTCTACTGAGTTTTGATCTACTTCTTCATACTGGATTCAATGTCTTCTTTTCTTACATATGAGATTTGGTTTGAATGAGAGAGATAGGACATTCTGGGTAAGTCTTTCATTGGACTAAAATAGATATAAAATATTATTGCTCCTGTTTTTAATATAAAATAGAAGTCATTTTTTATCTCATGGGGAAAAAATCTTGATTGCCAAAGGCCCCTCTGAAGAAACCACTGAACAAAGATGCTTTATTGCTTTAAGAAAGAGGTTTGGGTCAAAGACCTACTGCATGATAGAATTAGCATAGATGTAAAATTATTTTAATGGAATTAGTCTTCAGTAATAAGAAGGAAGATAAAGGGAATAAGTTAGATGGAACATTTTTCCTGAGAAGATAGAATATGGCTATAATGAATAACAAGTGTAGATCTGCATAATCACTTTCATTGTAGGTAAGTCACAGAAAGGAAAGAAATACTTCTCTGGAACCAAAAAGTGATGGGAAGATGACACAGAGGAATGGGCTTAGGGCTCTGTGACAGGCTCTTCTGGAAGCACTTAATGCTTTTCCTATGTAACTCAAGGAACTCGTTAAAGACTGAAAGAAAGCTAAATGAAAGGCAACAAAAGTAGAAACAGGATGAAGCCAGCAGTGGGGATCTGTGGACAAACCCCAAGGCAGGTGGTTGTCTTGCAGATGCACAATGTAGATACAGGCAGCAGGCTTGTAATCCAGGAAGACTGGGTAAGAAGTCATAGGCGTAGGTAGGGAATATAAGATAAGGGATCAGGCAACATACGAGAAACAGCAACAGAAAGCAAGGTTTTCACACCTGTATATAGTTTCCAAGGAGACAGAAACTAGTCTTAAAGTTAGTTAACAAGGAACTTACAGTAATTATAAGTACTGAACTGACAAGTGGAGAAATAAAGAGCAGAACAGTTCTTGGCAGTCGTGAAAAAACCCAAAAACCAAACTCACTGCTGTGGAGTCAGTTCTGACTCAGCAATCCTGTAGGACAGAGTAGAGCTGCCCTATAGTGTTTCCAAGGCTGTAAATCATTACAGAAGCAGACTGTCACATCTTTCTCCAGCAGAGGGACCTTTCAGTTATTAGCCAAGCGCTTTAACCACTGTGCCACCAGGGCTACACGTGTAGTAATGAAAGGTAGTCGTTAAAGTAGGAGAGAAAAAAAACAACTCACGAAATGATTAATGAAAGTTGAAGTTTGGTGTTAAAACAATACCTATTATATACTTTTTAAAAAAAGGCCAGTTGCTATAGAGTTGATTCTGACTCATGGTGAACCCACGTGTGTTAGAATAGAATTGTGCTCCATAGGGTTTTTAATAGATGATTTTTCTGAAGTAGATCACCAGGCTGTTCTTCCAAGGCACCTCTGGGTGGACTTCAACCTCCAACCTTTCAGTTAGCAGCTGCGCGTTTTAACTGTTTATACCACCCAAGGACTTGAATATATTCTTAGGCTTTGCATTTAAAATTCTTCTAACTCTAGAAAATATAATCGCGACAGATTAAATTTCAGGCATTGACATATAATTTCCATAACCTAAAAACACCACTCTTTTTAACAAATGAAAACCTTAAAGAGAGAATGACATTTTTACCATTTTCTTTTTCACATTTCACTGAAACACAGGCAAAAACCCACTACTGAGTACTCTGTCTTAACTAAGCATTCATTCACTGCCACAATAAAGCACAAATGATGGAAGAGATGAAGAAAAAGCCACTTGTCTTCTCTTACAGACTTTATGAAAGTAGAGAAAATATCAAATTCCTCAGTAGAGGAAGAGAGCTGGGTGCAGAAATTTCTCTTGTCACCACCACCACAGTCCGTCTTACCTCCAGAACTAATCACTGGCCATCATGAAAGCAAGCAGGTCATGAATACAAACATTTACTGAATGGCTGCTAAAAACCGAAGATAAATGCCAAAGATATAATCCCTGCCTTCAGAGAGTTTACCAAGAAGGAAGGCAAAGTACACATAATATACTACATGCTATGACAGCATACCATACAGAGTATACACAAAATCCAGCAAATGGTCATTTCCATATGTAAAAATGGTTTGGTGGGGGCATCTGACCTCTAACTTCACAAGGGGGAAGGAGAATGAAGATTAACAGCCCAAGGCTGATTGCTATGAGGCAAAGGTCAGACATACCTCTTCCCTAATGTTTTTACTAATTCTAACACTGTCTCTCCCAAAGCACTCTCTACTACTCTGCTGGATTTGATAATTCGTTGCAATGGCCACACAGAACTCACAGACCATACTCACAGTTATGGAGTTTATTAGGGAAGTGACAAGTTACAATTTAGGTCCAGGAATGCTCAAGATACAGTTTTTCAGTCAGGACAGCCTCTTCTCAGCCATGCCCACAGGCACACCTCTCTCTGGCCCCTTGGCCCAGTCTCTGCCCTTCTCAGGCCATGTGTTACAAAGCTCTTTTAGCTCTGCTGACAAGCACCTGGAGGCACTCCACTCTGCTAGTAAGTCTCCTGTCCAAAGGCACTCAGCATTCTCATTCCATGGGCCAGGAAGCCCACCAGGTCATCATCTGCTGGTCTCCTGGTTCTACTGACACCGTTTCTCTGCCGCTGCTTCTTACCGTCTCCAGTGTTACCGCTCTCCCTCTATGTCATGATCCTCTGCTGCCTCTGTCTTCCATGTTACAGCTCCTCTCTCAATCGCCTGGTTCCAGGAGTTTCTCAGCACAGGGATCCCAGGTCCAAAGGATGTGCTCTTCTTTCTTGGTGGTCGTGGTAAGGTTCTCCCTTCCGGCTTCTGGGATGGCTCATTTTAAGCCTAGCGGGATGGCAAAACTGACCAATCCCCTCATTAGGGTTTCATACATTTCATTTGCATGGTTCTACCCCCCGCAAGGGTGCCATGAACCTTATCTACATTATTAGCAAGCTATCCAATCCCCTTAGTGGGCCACAAGTACCTCATTTGCATAGTCCCACCTAGTCATTTGGTGGGAGTTACAAAGACTATGGTTATAAGGGCCATATTAAGTAATTCACTGCACTGGAGGCCACCCCTTGGCTCTTCTAGCCATTGGCCCTTTTATACTTGAAGGATTAACTTCCCCCTCCCAATCATTTTACTAGTCTAAAACAGTCATTAACAATTAGTCCTTCAGTAGGGCAAAGAGTCCTTAGGGTAAGATTACTCAGATACCAGCCACTCTGGTCTGCTGCAGGTGTTACCTGATCTGCTCAGGTTCTCCAAAAGTCACCTCAGCATCACTTTTTTTGGCCTTTGCTAAAATTTAACTTAGAGAATATTATTCCCTTGCTTTGAGCTTCAGGAAGTATCAGCATAGCAAAACTTTTAAGGGATTTTAGGTTCGGCTACTGCAGTCTAGTCTAGTAGTGCCTCCCCCTTAGTCTACTCTTTTATAGTTATAGTTTATACAATTAGAGTTTTTACAATGACATTTAACTCTGTTAATCATTACTCATAGTTGAATCATATAATTGTATCAGCATCTTCCCTCACCCTCTCTTCCCCAGACCCATTAGGAAAAGAGGAAACCATTCAGTAAGGATTCTCCCTTGTCCCCTCATTTTGAGTGTAAGCACACCCACGAAAGTATGTAATCCAGTCACTTCATGACTTTATCTCCCCGTTTTAGACAGCCAATGTTTAAATTGTCCATCCTTACCAAACCAGTACTCTGAGGAGACAAGTATGTTCCCTGGTGTGAAGAACTTCCTGTTCCAGATGAAACTTTGAGGATCTGCATCCGTAAGTAAAGTCCAGTTCAGAACAAGCCATCAAACTATAGCAATCTACACTTGCTCACAGTGTCAAACATCTTTCTCATCATTCAGTCGGGTTCTGGTCAACTCATCTCTAGCCATCCAAGCTAGGTCACAACAGGTATCAGTCATAGGCTCGGGAGTTCACACACACTTCCTTGCGCTTCAGCCAGCCTCTTCTCTCTCCCTCTCTTATCCTTAGCCCCCATGGGCTAAGTCAAAAGGCACCAGTTGTAAGCTCAGGAGTCCACACAACCCCCTGCTCTTCTGACCAGCCAGCCATTTCTCTCTCTCATGGGCTAGGTCAATGCGTGCCAATGGAACATGTCCAAACTTGCCATCTCTTCATTGCTGCGCTTCTCATACTTCCACTCACTGACTGGACCGAGGGGGTCACCACAAGTGAGCATACCAAGCTGTAGTCTACTCATCAGCTCCCTTTAACTTCCAGTCTTGGAAGCGGGTTCTTCTGACAGACACACTGACGTTTTCTGCCTCAATGCACCCAAAGGCAAACCATTGGCCTGCTCGAAATGTTAAGAGTCATTTTTTTTCTCTGTAGCTCCTTCAGATGCAAATTTCATGCTCTCTCAAAGGTTCTGGGTGGGTCTGCATGTCTTTTCAAATGCAAATTTAATGACCCCCAAAGGGTTAGGGTAGGGCTTAGGTACACACAGGGCTACTGTATTTAAATGAACAGCCTGTGTTTCTTTCAGGCAAATTTTAGTTCCCCTTTCAGCATAACCTATTAAGTATTGGCTGAAGGCAGAGTTATACGCTTTCTTTTTTTATCTATAACACCCAATATTCATTTCAATCACACATTTAGATCTGCTTTACAACACTAGGTAGGAGAAACATTCAATATCCATAGTACATTCAAATAAACACATAATCTTTTTAAAAAACATTCCAGTTTCATCTTTTCCATCCCTTTACTATCTTCCCATTCATATGCATATGGTCTTGGGTCTCTCGCTGGGTGGAACCAGTAGACCCTGGCCTCATATCAATCATCTC